ACATTGTCCATATGCCTGAAAGACTTCTCGGCTATGACACATTGTCCACTGGACATCAGCCGAAGTCTCGTCTCGCATGAAACAATATGCAAAGGTGAAGGTATCGTCTATTGATGTTACACCAGCAAAGTGGAAGAGAGGGAGCCCATATCCATTCGTCTTGTTGGTCGCATCAATCAATTAAACACGAACAGCATGCTTCACGCTTCTTTAACCAATCTTCTTCGCGGATGGGGAGATGACCAGCAGATGAGTAAGCTGCGGTTGATGGTTAACCTTAAAGATGAAGTCTCTGGAATCCAAAGAGTCCAAGATATATGTTAGCGGAGAGCGGCCTGCCAGCGTCCTTGTGCATTCTGTGTGAAGCAGGTTGCAAACGTCTGAAGCTATGGTCAATGCATTATTGCTATGTTGACAGTACGGTGACAATGCGCCTGGGTACTACACCAGCACGCGTCAGCGCTAATACTGTTTGCTGATTTTCATGTGTAAAAGCACTCGTTCAGGTGTGCGGACGGGTGGGCGAAAGGCTCGTGGTTATGTTCTTCTGTGGCAACTTGTACAAGCCAATGTCCTGCTTCCCCTATTCGTACAATGGAGGTGTCCAACCTGCCAGTGCTAAGGCTGGACGACACACGCTGGCAATGTCCAGCACCTGTTCTTATGACAGCGAGGCTTGGCTGCGAGCAGACAAGAATTGAAGATTTCACACCATTATCATTCTTAGTACAAATCCCTCTTGTGTGTTTGGCAAGAAATGCGTAGCCTTCCATGCGAAAATGAGCCTCAATTGAAGCTCTTGCCTCTTACAAGGAAGGGTGCGCAAGCTGGTGAGAGAGTGCAAGGCTGTTCATTGTGATTTTATGAAAAGAGAGGTGGTTAAACGGAAAGTGCAATGTGGTTGTGCTGAGAGATTTGAATTGATTTGGTTTGATTTGCCTTCTGAACAACCAGAGGCTCTATTTTGAGGAGTGGGGCTGGTTGACAAAAATGTGGGAGATGAAAAGCGTATCCTTAAAACTTAAAGGATATGCCCGATTTCAATATCTCGTCCTACGACAAAGGGTTGTTACCATTTACTTTAGTCAAAACGCTGTGCGATAACTTACGGGATGACATAAAGTAAGCCTTGCTCCTTCCTCTCACATATGAATGTCAACATGTGAGAAATGACTGTCTGCATCTTAAGCATTTACCCTTCGCTGATAATTTGCAGTGACTTACAACATTAGGTTGCCAGTAAGTGCACAGCTGAGATATGGATATGGAGGTGCTAGCATATCCCGAGCCTTAATGCGAGAGAGATGGACTACAACTCGGATCAGTAACTACCTATTTTTCTATTTGGAAATTACTTTGAAAAGTAGGATAGTAGAAGCTGTATGGTCAGCGGTCACAACCACGTAAAATCTCTTTTCTATATGCTGTGTATACCATAAAACGATTACAGACACATGGGTAACAAAAGAAAGGATGGGTATTCTAGGTGTTAAGTCGCCCTTACATTTTAGCATAACGTGTCACGAAAGGCGTCATCCTTCAAACTTGCGCACGATATTGAATGCGCGATGGTCAATATCCGGACGAGCAACTTGCGGGTGTTGCTTCTACCAAAACTTAACCAGAAATTTACTTGGAGGTGATTGTTTTAAGAATGTTGCAGCGAATGAATCAAGGAAAACAACTGGTCTCAGTTTTCAAGCCGAAGAGTGTAAAATTTGCAAATGCACACGTAAAGGATCACCGGAGAAATACTAAAAAAAACCAGTGTGGATCTCCTACTGTCACCGAGAGCAGCGTGGGTGGTGCTTCGCTACCTTTGTGTTTTCAGCAGAGGAAGAGAAAGCAACTAAGAACTGACTAATTGCTGGTAAATGTAAAAATGAATTAAATATAATCAAGTCCTAATTACATGTACAGAATAGCTCACAGCTAGAAGGGACCACGGTTAAAGGACCAATACGGTTTTAAAACCGCATTTTACTGGACAAAAAAACACATACAAATTTTGAGTGAGTTTTCTTTATCGCACAGCTATTGGACAAAAGAACGTAGTGACGCCCGCCACCCGTCCCATTCTCCCCACGCAAGGACAATTCGCAATTTCCGAACACCTCCGTAGACAAACACGACGTATGAATGGCGCCCCGAACGCACCTTTCCTTCGTCCAGAAGAGAGCTCTACAGACACACCCAGCGAGAGATCCCTGGACTCACGCAAGCCGATCTCTGTCGATGGGCGCAGGGAGAGTTTGGAGTCCGTGTTGCAATGTCCACGATCAGCTGGATTCTGAGCGAGGACATTCCTGTCACCCTCAATCCGAGAGCCAAACGGCAGCAGAAGGGCAGACATGCCGAGGTGGAGAAAGCGCTATTCCATTTCGTGCTCGACACTTAAAGTAAAGTCACGTTGACCGACTTCATTCTCCACCAGAAGGCCAACCAACTGCTCGAGGACGCAGGTGTAACGACGACTCTCTCGCTTTCGTGGGTGTCGAGGTTCAAAGCCCGACACGGCATCAAGCCTTACCGACTGCATGGCGAGGCGGCCTCAGTCGAGCTAGAGACCCTTCACCAGCGGCGCCAGGAACGCCGGACCCTTCTCGACGGCTACGCGGCGTGCGATGTTTTCAATATGGATGAAACCGGTCTATTTTATCGCATGATGCCTTCGCGGGCTCTGGCAACGATGCCTTTGAGTTGCAAGAAGAAAGATATGTCGCGCATTTCGATAGGGCTATGCTCCAATATGGATGGGACTAAGAAACTGGACCCTATCGTGATCGACAAGTCCCTCAACCGCCGTTGCTTTAAAGCCATCGACGTTTTCCAGCTACCCGTCCACTTCCATGCGAATGCAAAGGCAATGGATGACTGGCGGCATCTTTGCAAATTGGTTGAAAGCGTTTAATCTCAAAATGAGTGGCCGAAAAGTTCTTCTGCTGCTCGACAACGCGACCTCACATGTCAATTTGGAGCTCTCAAACGTACACATTCATTTCCTTCCGCCAAATACCACCCCTCATTTGCTGCCGATGGACGCGGGCATCATTCGCAACTTCAAGCTCAAGTACAAGGCCCAATTCGTGCAGTGGCTACTGGACATGGTGACAACAGGGACGGAGGACAAGAAGCTCGACGTTATTAGCGCAATCCGTATGGTGGTAAAATCGTGGATGAGGTGCGCCCTGAAACGGTTCGACACTGTTGGATCCACACAGGAATCATGTCGGAAGTTATGGCGGCAGTGCTCCGTAGGCAAGTAGAGCCGGTCCGTCCCAATGATCTCTCAATCCTGGCTAATCTAATCGACAAACTATCCTTATCTGATGGAATGGATGCAGACGACTATCTGAAGTGTGACAACACCTGGAAGAATGGGAACCAGACTCCGATGCAACTGCCACCTCTGAGCCATTTTCGCGTGATGACGACAGCGACAGAAGACGAAAATCCCATCTTTCACTCATCGCGACGCGCTGAATGCTGCAGTACAATTGTCTACGTACCTATTCGTACACAAGATCGATCTTGCACACAAGATTGATATTGTGGGGACGTAACTGCTGACCGAGAAATGCCGCCAACAGCTTCAACAGAGCATGCACCAGCAGCAAATCACCGATCATTTATCGAAAGAGTAAGCTCGGTGGCCCATACTGAAACTAAGAGCACTCACTTAATAGCACGCAAAAATGGAACTGATATTTAATATGTTAAATCACTTAGATTTCTACATTAATTCTTCATACCTAACTTATCCTGGAATCTCATTTCCAATTATCCAATTCCTATAGGATATTCCTAAAGATTTTATTCAAATCGAATGGTCCAAAAGAAACGAAGTGGTGTCCTTTAAGTTGAGTTTCGATCTTGAGGACACAGCGAGATTTTATGGACAAATGGCGCTCTCTAACTGTAAGTTATCTGTACCTATGTTCTAGTCCTAACTAATTTATATTGAACTACAAAAATGTATGCTAAGTCTTGCTCACCACTCCTATCGCGCGTCCATCGTTGATTGGACCGCAAGGGCTGGCTGATTTGGCCCCTATCAGCCAATCGGTGAGTGCTTCGGAATATCACTCCTTATGGTAATATTCACGAACATTATCAGCCTTTATAGTAATATATTACTTAACAAGTATCAGAGTTAATTCCATGTAACAGGCTCACCCCGTTACAGTAAACGACAATTTGTTATGTTGAACTTCGCAACTAAAAGCTGTTGATACTGAGCGTTCTGAATTTTTTAGAGTTCACGGGCAGTGTAAAGGAATGTGCCACTAGCACAGTCGCTAATCTCTGAAAGCATGGCAAAAGAGGAAAATTTGCATTATTTGACCCATCAAAAGTTATTGCTTCGAGTTTTTCCTTCGTTGGAAACAGGAGGTGACACTTTATAAAAGGGTATTTTAACGATCAGAGGGAATCCTACTCATTTATCGATCCATGCATTAGGCCGATTTGTAGTACAGTTGCAGTAAAAAGCGAAGGAAGGACACCGTATTGCTGGACGATTACGGTGCATCCTGACTATTGTGGTACATGTACGTAACCCCAAACTGCGGTAATTCTCAGCGATTTGCTTGCCACAGCAACTAGCGAGAGCTTACAGTCCCCAGCATAGAGTGTCAATTCGACCCAGAAATGATGCAGGCGAGCGGCTACCCAAACAAATAAGCTAATCAACTGCTCTTTGTCAACCGACGATGTACGGGGTAGACTACCTCACACACACCTCCAGGCTATTCTTTTTACTGGAAGGCCCAAATTTATCTTAGGCACGGGCAAACATGCCGAAGCAGTTAGCCATTAATATAAAAACTACGTAGGTGCTGCACTGGAGCAGAGTTTTGCCCTGGACATCATAATAACAAGCACAGTACCATCATTTATTTCGCTGGACTGGTGCCGCTGAGTCCTTCGATTGTGCTTTCACCTCATCCTTCCGTGTAGGATGCGTTTCCGCATATGGTCACGGAGGACGTCAGCTGAGCTTATATGTAGATTTGCTCGTCCTCCTCCATCTTGTGGTGCAGCCCGACGGATTCGACCGCAAACTCATTAAATTTTATCTCTTCACCGGTTTTGCCGATCAGGAAACGCTTCTTATAGATAAGGTTGGGGTATATCTGCTCTGTCTGCACGGCCACAAACCTCTCAGCACGTGCGTTGCCTCCTCGAGGTGGCGCAAGTCGAGCGCGCTCATTTGGCAACGCAAGAACCAAAGCTGTCAGCAGCAACAATACTCCGCACCCCGTCCACGTGCAGACGTTGCCCACTCGAGTATTCGTCAAAAAGATCTTTACACGTCGTGCAGTCGTTGCATCAACAAGACGTCGTTTGGCCGTCGTAAAGCCCACGCTTGGTGCACCATCTACGATTCGGGCGTCCTGAAAAACAAATAGCAGCGCCGTTGCCACCATCGTCTCCAACATGTCGTCACCCATGTACAAGTGGTTGCTCTTCACATACTGGAGATACGCCTCGACGGATCTGTCACAAGTATGAGTGCGAGCCAAAGGCCATGATTCGAGATACTCCAGCGTTACAGACGAGGACACCTCGGCACCTGGTTGTCTAGTTTTAGGATCCACCAGTTGTACGAGTGAGGTTAGTACCGCCAGACCAGTCTGAAGTTGAACTGGAAACTTCTGCTTCGGTTGAACCAAGTGACGGTCGTTGCCACCCAGCTGGTAACGTAGCACTTGACAGCCTTCATCTTGATCCGCTCCTGACTCGCACTCATACACGTCAGTTTCGAAACGCCACGACAGCCGCGCGAAAGACATAATCAATAAACTAGTTGGAGCGGCCGTGTCGCGCTCAACGTTAGTTACAGTGGTGAACCCATACAAGAATGCAGCGTTCCGGACGCTGTCACATTCATCCGACAGCGAACAGTTTTCCTTTAGTTGTGTGATTCCGATCTGCTTGCGCGGCAATCGTTCTTTATTGTTCATCTGTGGACGCATCCAAGCACAACTGCTTTCGCCGCAAACAACGGACGCATTACTTGGACCGCGTATCGGTACTTTCAGAACCATGGCATCCAAGTTGATCGAAGAACTTACTTCCAATGACTCGAACGAAACGTCTACAGCAGCACCTTCCACCAGCGGTAGTTCCGTATCGAGAAGAAAGCTCAGAATGCCAGCTAAAAGCTCGTCCGTACTCGATGGCGGAGTGCTCCCTCGGAACGCGCTATCATCCCGTATACTCTTTAGTAGAATGGCTCTACCCTGCACCCATAGTTCGTAGGCTGTGGTAAGCGACACGACATCGTTCTGTAGCAAGTGTCCGTCCGCATCTAAATGCGAAAGCTTCCGATTCTTCATAATTTCTCGATTAGACCAACCGTCTGCAAAATCTGCGCCCCAATCCGGCACACGGAACCCGAAAATAGCCTTGGGGGCAGCTGCAAGCAGCATTTCTGCTGAAAACAAGCTGGTACTATCATTGCTGCACATAGATGCATCCGGAGGCTGCATAGGCTCCACTTTTCGTGCCAGCTCCGTCTTCAAGATAGTGTTTCCCAGTCCATCGCCCTCCAACTCAGTCACGTTTCGCACTAAGAACCTCGTCGTGGACAATTTAGTTGTCGTGGTGTAACCACCTCCTCCGTTGTCATCTTTCTGATTAGCTTGCACTGCCGAGAGCGAGCTGCTCACTGCCATCATGACTGTAGGGATAAAAATTGTGAGCGCAAACTTCTTGAGCTTGCTTTGTTTCTTAGTCGCAGGGTCGTCTCCTGGATACCACTTCAAGTTGTGCAGGTACACCACAAACACGGGGAAAATCTCTTCCACGCCAAGGCCAATAAAGGACTCGACAAAACCCATCATAAGACCAAGGTACGAGTTGACCACGTCGGTCTTGTTCTCAGCCTCGCTCACAGGAACGTTCTTGTCCACCACAAATCCCTCGCGCAGCCACGCAGCGATCGAGGACATGACGGCAGCTACAAGCACCACGAGCAGGGCGAACCGCTTCCAGCGCAGGATGATCTCTGGTCGCGGCTGGGCCATTTTCTTGTACGTCGCTTCATTGGTTCCATCCCCTTCGCTCCCGCTTTCAGGTCGTGAGCTGCCCATGGTGTTCACTAGCTGCGGATCGTAGCGCTGATCCCGTCCGAACCCCCGGCAACTGGATAAAATGGCGTGCGGCGACTCGCAGTCGAAGGCGTCGTCCGTGTACGACGACATGCGGCCCCGCTCTGGGAATGGCCTTCAGCTTGAATTGTAAGCGATCGATACCGCTGTCGACCGTTACTTGGTTCAGTTAACAGACAAAGTCGATCGAGCCGGTGAGACAGAGGAGCCGTCGACTTATTCGAAAGTGCCAGTGGTGTTAGAAACGGTGCCACTTCCGCATATCATGCTGACGATCGGTCGATAAAAGCAGAGGGCTGCGAAGAGCAAATTTCATGATCAGTGCCACCAATGACCAAAGTCCCAAAAACCAGGACAATGGTTTAATCAAGTTGTAATTTATCGAATTGTATTTTTGTTGTGTATTCAAACTAGTTTAGTGTTAACCACATTAATGCCCAGCTCCAACTGGGGATCAGAAACTGCTTGATTGCTAATGAGTCATTCCATTTTTCAGACAACTGTCACCAGAGTGGATCGCAAAACGCTCCATGTTTTTTTAACGCTTCGTCCACTTCTCAATTTGTGCCCTCGCGCCAAAGTGCCCACACGCAGTGAGCAAACATTGCATGCGAGCCAGGTCCCGGTCGCACGAGTTGACGAGCTCGTGATCGTGTGGACCCATTCAGACTCAGCACCGTTTGCGAGCGGCGGCAGCAGCAGGTCAATTCTTGCTGTAGTGTCGACTGTGCTGTGTAACGATTGCGTGCTTGTCCGTGTGTATGCGTTGCAGTGCGAGGGGTATGACTGACTGGCATGTAACAAGCTAATGTCTGGTGCGCACCCGTAACAGTTCGTTTGCTGGATCGGCAGCAGGTCAGATCTTGCTGTGTTCGTTGCCGATTATGCTGCCTGACGAACACGTCCGTGTGTAGCGCGGTCAGTAAGTCAGCAGGATTTCTTAAGCTGTGTTTAACGCAAACGAATACGTTACAAAGCTTGTGTAAACTCGCATTGTATTCACAATGTTAGATTTTCAGCAATTACGCACTTCTATAATTCAAGCGTAGTGTAGGCACACAATGAGCATGCTACCGATCAGCGAACCTGCATCATGGAATGCACTGCTCCTTGTTTCTTAGACGCACCAACACCAAATTCTCCTCGTCCTAATGCATGGCTCGTGTAGCGTTGGTTCCTGCAAAATCGACTTAGGTTGTTGTCTCCATCATCTACGCTGCGATCTCCGACACTCGTATCAACAAACAAGTTGGCATGAACGCGGTTGCGCCGCAAGCTGTTGCTCTTTCAGCTCCCGCATTGACTTCTCTCGCATACCTCCAAAGCGCGAGTTCGGTCTGTGGTCTCTCGGCACCCCAATCTGCGTCGTATGTGCACCAAAAGATACGCGTAGCTTATCATCAAGCGCTTGCATCTTTGCAAGTGTTTCCAGACAGTCCACTGGACGCTATACTTTCCACGTCGCTCATGTGCTGGCAGCAAAAGTCACATGCACACGGAAAAAGTACACATCCGTTAGGACATCTCAATCGACACTAGAACACAGCAAGAACTGAATGGAGTGAGCGCAACCATTTGTGTGACCATTATCTACTCAGTTGAAAGAATTGATAGCAATCATGCCGTTTCTGATCCCATGTTGCAGTTAAGTATCATGTGGCTAACGCTGTCTCTCAACAATTTTCTACTTGATTAAAGTATACTTCCGGTTTTGGAACTGAAAGAAATTTGTGGGACTGGTAATGAGAATTGCTCGGCAACGAGCCTACTTCCGGCTGCCCAGTTGGTGGTTAGAGAACAACCCAAAAACCCGGGGTCCTTTTTCTTCCCTCCTCTCTCCACCCAGAAAAGAGATGTTTTCGAAGAAAAAAAAAAAAAAACACTCGTATGTTAACCTGAGCTCAAGTGGTTGCGATGTAGATAGATGCAGGCTCAAATACCAAACATATTGTACCGGGAGACTTTAATTACACTCACATTTTTGTCTGAATGCACTAGTATTTTCGCCTTTTTTTGCTTTACCCATCCCAAACTCTGCCGGCTATCCTTTAGGCCTAATAATAGTATTGCCAACAGGGGTGAAGCGCAGGGCATTTTCACGAGCCCCAGTGTGGGTGGCCGCGATTGAAATAGACATCAACACGTTCACCCCCGCCATCATTATTCTATCCGTCAACGTAGAGATAGCGCCCAATATCGACTGTATTCACGACCATGGGTACTCACGACCATGGGTACTCACCATCATGGATACGGGTTATTGAAATTTTGCTTGCTCAGCACTTTGATACTCGGTACTATGGCTTACAGCACATGCAGACAGGTACAAACCCCATTGCAAAATGAACTGCCTTATCCAAAAGGTTAAAAGCTAATCGCATTTTCTAGCCCCGGTCTTAGCAAGCAATCCACGCAAACAAGCAAAAGGTGACCTTACTTGATCATGTTAAACTCGAAAGCGTCAAGCTTGCACATCCGTGAGATCCCGTAGAGCAGCTTAGGCCAAATGCACCTGGACGACCTTTGCATCGATATCGCTCTTTCCACGTTGTACAATGCTCCACCGGTAGCATGGTCTTGGTACTACATTAAGATGGTAACCATTACCGCCTTTATGCAATGAAAACGTCGTACATTCGTCGGGTCCGTGCATTATAAGCCCGAGCCGGGGATCGAAGCAACTGCAGCCTTTGTAGTGTCACCGCCTTGCAAGGTAATGGGCCGGTCGTAATTGATTTATATCTGGAAGTCCCGTTTTTCTATCGGTGCATCATATAGAAACACGCATAGTCTCACGCAAATTGCTGCGGAGGGTGCTAACGGCGAAGCCTTGGCTAATGGTGTACTTCTTGGTGATGTCAACTGCTACCTTTTCACTACCAAATGGCCCGAATAATAGAGTTTAATTGCAGCTTCATGGCGGAGCAGCTCGGGATAGCATCATTAACAACACTAGAAGCTGCCATGCCAGAGGAGGAAGGTGAAAGGGCCCAGCATCATAGTGAGAATGATGAGGGGTTATCGAAGAAGGAACGGTCGAAAACCATGGCCCTTCGCTTAACCCTTGTTGGCAGTACAATAATTAGGCCTAATGGATGGCCAGCACAGACTGGGACGGGCAAGGCGAAGAAAAGCCGAAAATGTAGGTGTATTCAGACGCTAGTGTACTTTAGGTCTCCCCATCGCACCCGCCCACATGGCGGTCGCATTTCATGATCGTCACGTATTCCCAAACAAAACCAAGAAGCACAAACCCAACTGTCAAAAGAGCCGGAGCATGCGTTTCGCAGCATTGTCATCTGTTCACATCTCGGACTCACGGCATCTAACTTGACAAATCCTCGAGCCAGAGACCCGCCCCACAACAATCCCACACCCTACGAAAAACAAGGCGACGAAATGACGGCGTTTCATTATCGTTTGCCGGTCCCACTCCTCCCACCGCAGCAGCAGCTTCATGATCGTAGCCTCGCCGCCCTCTAACACCAGCAGCGGTGACGACTACGCGCAGCGCAGCTTCGCGCCGTGCGTCTCGACAGCGAGCGACATGATGCGGACCAACGCGCTGGCTGACCGTAACACGATCGTGGACATGGGGCTGCGTCTCGGGCGCTTCGTGCTGTGCGTGACGCTGGCTCTCGTCTTTGCCTTTGGGTTCGCGCTGCTCACGAGCAACAAGAAGACGCTCACGTACGTGCACGAGCACAAGGTGCCAAGCAATGAGACGCTGTCTGCTCAGGCCGCACTCGTCGTGGAGAACTACAACACGCTCTTTGGTTACCTCCTCTTTGCAGGCGGCAAGATCTTTGAAGTCTTCTGTGAGACGCTCATCTTCCCGACTCTGGCCACGTATTTGCACAACTGCTGTCTGTATCCAGGGGACCAACCGGCGCGGATGCACTCGGTCACTAAAGCGCGCTGCATCTTTTGGGGGCTCAAGACGGTCATTATCCTCATGAACGTCGGCTTCACGAGTGTCTACGTTGGTCAAACTACACTGGACTCCGCTCCCTCTTCGCGACGTTTGGACGAGCTGGCTGGACTGTCGATGCAGACGGACCCTTCGTTCGCTGTCGTCGCCAACGCGGACTTGCCACTCTCCATTTCGCGGACATCAGGTGCAGGTGTTACGGTGCCTTTTGTTTATGAGGACACATGCCGACAAGCAGGGCAAAGCAGTGAGAGCGCATCACTGCAATGGGAGACGTGGGCTGACGACGTAGACACGACGTCGGTAAGCTTCAGCTTTCCGTCGCACGCGTGGAATGCGGCGTTGCTTTCATCGGATACATTGGTACCGACCAAGACTACCGAAATTTTGATGCGAGACTATTTGGCTAACGAAGAAAAGTATGACATCACTGATGGCTGGGGTACTGCAGAATTATACTCGATCTTTCAGCAAAGTCTGCAGAAGCTGGGCCTGCTGGGTGGTATGGTTGATGCACCAATGCCTCGGTCGCTCGGAGAATTAGTTCGCGTGATTTCGGATGAATTGACGAAGCTTTTGCCTGCCAGAGCTCAGCTGGGCGATCTCATTTTGCGTCTGGAGTACCGCAAGATAGCTGGAGATGTAGAGCTTACCACTTTATTGCTGTCCGTTCCATTGGAAGCCGATCGAAATGGAGAAGTTCTATGTGGCGCTTCTGGATGTGTCTTTGTTACATCAAGCAGCGTTCTGGAGGAGCTTCGGCTGCAACCTCGCGTGTCGATCGCGTCGTACAAGGACGACATAGACTCCGCGCTTATCTGCGGCACTTCAAACCAATATGTGCTGGATTCGGAGAGTGCAAAACATACACCACGTGAAGTGCTCACGTTTTCACTGAGTAAGCTAGCATGGAAGTTGAGTCCTCTTCATATCCAAGACAACGCAGCGTGTGCACGTGATGACGAGTATATGTGCCTTGGTCTAAGTGTGCCATTCGCAACAGGTGACAATGTGCTGCTCGTGGGGAAGGAAATGCTGTCCATGCAGCATGCGGTGCGCTTGCATCCTTTGGTGACACTGCACCCAGCCGTGATTCCGGATATAAGGCGCCATGATATATTGACGTCGTGGTATCGTCTTGTGTCACCTGATGGCATTCTGGTGCGTCCAAGCACGTCTGAATGCACTTCGGTTGTGGATGCATACCTGGTTCATCGTGAGCGCAATCACTTCAATATTGACGGTCGACAAACGCAAGACATGTTCGCCGCAGCACTCTTTTATTTGCTGCAGCGCGGAGTTCCGATGTCATACGCAGACGTCATGTCGCGGAGGCGTCTCGCGTCATCCGTCACGATGACGTCCAATAGCTCAGCGTTTGGCAACAGCATTACCACTGCTGCTACGACTGACATTGAAATCAATGTCCCCACTGCGACGGCGATGGTAACATTTGCTGGCTGTATTTTCATCGTTCTGCTGATGATGTCTGTGATTTACCTGCCGACGCCTCGAGTAAAGCTGTCACCGGACACGACTCCAGCCGCCCAGTACGTGCAGATCCTGACTGACGACCCATATCCCGACATAGTTCACAAGAAGCGATTGCGTTTTGCCAACGGCGACTGTCTTCTGTTTAATGAGTACGTCGTCGACGCAATCGTGCTCAATGCGAAGCGCGACCGCACAAAAAAGATATACCTGTAAGCTTAGTACATACGCCTTTTGTTAACAGCTCACCATTATTGGTGGTGTCTGGGCCTTGACAAGTCCGCATGTGGTTCTTCCTTTCAAGTTTGACATACATGCAATATTAATGATTATCCTAGGCGCATTGGCTCTTGTCAGTTCAGACCCGGTGTTAAGAAACTATAAATCCCGTCCATCGCGGACAAAATACTCTCCTTCGAAATAGCGTATTGCGACACTACAAACAATTCTCGCAAACTGAGCGCTGCAAGACTGAGCAGCATTGGCAGTGTCCGAGCGATGGAAAGATACGAAGATGGTCGGATGTGAGCAGCAAACGAACACTTGGACGCACACTCTTATTGTGATCAGATCTCTGCTTCATCTACTTTTTATTGACACACTGGCTTTAAAAGTGCATGATCATAAAATCAGCCCTTACTAGTCAGGAGATCTGCAACGTAAGAGTGTGATCTGAGATGATCGTTGCAATGCCGTTGCGTACGTGTAGATGACAAATGTTACTGCGGATTGGACTAAGAGTCTTCTGGGATGTCCTGCAACAGTCAAGAATCTTCCTGTTTGTCGACACAGAAGTCTAACTATTATAAATCCGTACAATATGACACTACTTTGAATGTACCTACGATAGGCATCATCGATAGAAGCGGTCTTATTCATTTTGCGACAAGAGGTTTTAGTCATCATCATTGGCACACGAGATCGCAAACGATAAGAGGATACCCACGTGCTGCGGAGTACGTCGTGTGTTTCATGCTGTAGGAATCATTTTCAAAATGCAGAGAGAACATAATGCTGATAAGAAAAGCGACATGACTATCCCGCTTGAATAGAGGCGCATGGTTGCCGAAACAATTCAAAGAAACAGCGCCATGTATGAAAAGTAATGAAACTTTTTTGGAACCACTCGATCACTGATCCCTTGTTGTTCCGTCGCGGGCTATTTTACCCAATTATGCAACAAATGCCCAAAAGTAGACCAAATCGGGAATCACTCGGTCCACGCAACTCTAAAACAGTCACGTCTGCGACCATATGTGTTCTTACACTTTTTCGTCGTTCTACGGTTTCATTTCATGTTCTTTGATCGCACAAGCCACGACTACATCTCTTTCTTATAGATGAAAACCTTTAGATTTCTGATGGTCGTCATCTTCTATACAAGATTCAACTAGCGTTGTACGGTCCGAAGAAACAGTTTCACGCGTTGTGTACAGCATGACGACACAACCGAGAACGCCTTAGTAATGACTCCAAATGCACAACTATCACATCATCGGATACACTTCATCTTAACCTCGATCGTATAGATGAGCAGGCCTTGTACCTGATATCGATTAATTACCGCATTAGCTCCAGTTAAAACTAGTTCTTGTTCATAGACGCGTTGCTCTACCTACACTGCACGCATTACCTAAAAAGGTCCTTACAGAAACGGACCTTTAATTCGTGTTGTATATGCACATGTCGATACGGCTTTATTATACTGCAGAGGGAGCCGCGAAAACTTTGTAACTAAAGGCATTGTTTTTAGGGAAAATAAAAATGCCACAAATAACCACGAAAGCAAAAACAATGCCCTAGGCAATCAGAGAACAAAAATAGGGAGCCGTTTTACGTACCACACCCTTCTGTTGTATGTACCACAGCCCAATTTAACACAAGCAAAATTATTTAGGGCCCACGTACCACATCCTTCTAGAAGTATCACAGCCCAATTTAAATCGATAATATTCTTTAAGACCACCACTTGTCCCCATTGCATGTTACTTGCTTTTCTGATGCACACATTGGTAACCTATAATCGTGAGATCAGGGACTGGTCCCTGCGATGTTTAGTGTGACAGTATTGCAAAAATTGCAGTGGCCCGGAGACTAGTTAACGAAATATTCGATAAAGGTGGGTGAATTTGGACTTGTCAGATTTGTCAAATGTTTAAAGTAAGCAGAAAACTGAGCAACTTGTTGACTCTGTAACAACAAACAATAAACCACGAGCGACATGAGCGACGCGATACCGAGAGCTGGGACTTGACGTGGATGGGAGCGGTCCTTTGGGGCTTGTAAATGTATGATCCAGCTCTTGAGACGGCGGAACTTTGTATGAAGAGTAGTCAATTCGTGACCGACTAAAATGGAAGGATTCGCGTTGACACTCTTGCGTTTTGACAAGCCTAGTTACCTTGTGTATTACCGACAGCACTGAATAATCTGATGAAGACTCAATAGCTAAAGAAGCGCAGCTCCAGGTACCATTTATGTCGATGCGTGAAGTTTACAACTCTAGATTTGCTTCATCGTTAAGCATCACATCGTTGTTGAAAAGTTACTAACTGCCAGCGTTAACTCGAAGCTCCACCCAGACACTGTGACGTTACTGCACTCATTTCGAGACTGAGCAAAATCAGACACTACTAGATGTTGGAGTCGATCAAGGAAGAGAGATGGACGTCGATTTACTACACTACCCAACGACGATGCCCAAGTCGTTGCAGCACATGCAGTCCACTCTTTTGTACCTGCGCCATGCAGAAGTGCAGATACAGAGATGGAGATGATTAGCTGCAGGACGGAAGCAAAAATGTGGTGAGTGCCACGAGCAAGGACACAATAGTCGAACCTGTTTCTTTCGACGCCAAAAGACTATCTTAGTTTCATCGTTTTCATCATTGTCTTCTATGGTACTTTTGCATACTTTTTACCAAGTTTTGGTGCCACACCCAGTACTAGTGTCGAAAAGCATACGTAGACGTCTAGTACGTGTCAAGAATATAACGAATTGTGTTCATACGCAAGTGTCGTTGTTCGACATCAACTTTGTAGCATTAGTGCTTGTCTGTAGTGAGATCAGAATGGAAGCACCACTTAAACTTAAGTACCTAGCTTCCTATCAGACAATGAACAAAAAAGACCAAATAAAGATCTAACCATATGTAATGATTGAGGACCTCTGATTTGCGGCTACAAATATGTACAATACAAATCGAATTAACACAATGTTCATGGTTCGATGATATTCGATAGAGATGCAATGTGAAGTGACTCATTTTCGAGTTACCGTCTTGATGGCTGTTTACTCGGCTCTATAACGCATGTCATTATCATTCATCTTCTTGTCGAAGGATGACGCGCTTTGCGTGTATCAACATCACACAATCTCCAGCACGCGTTCCGGGGTGCCCATAGCAATTGGCAAATAAGACTCCCAAGCTGCTTCGCCCGTTCATTTTCTTGAGGTGTTTGCTAAATCCTTTGGTTCAACGACATACGACCAACAATAAAGGCCTGGGCGTCATCGAAGGGCAACAACGCCACTTAGAATCAACAGCATCTCGCCGTATTCATAGAAGCGTTGTAAAGTTACATAATTATCTTGACACAGCACAGAGCAGACGAGCAGAGCATAACAGAGTAGACTTTGTCTTGACTGTTGCCCTTGCCGAGAAGTACCTCTCGCACGTCAGCATCAATTGGTCAATTAATGACAAAAGTAACTTGAGCTTGATCTTGCCCTGACCTGTGGATGCGACAGACTACAATCTAGCACGCCACAGACATCTTTTGTAACGGGGCACCCTGAAGCTTGTACTGGTGACAGTACAAGCTACTTATTCTGATGACAGAATAAGGCGGTGCCTCGGAACTTCACGTACACTTGTACGTGCAGAGGAAGACGGTAAGAAGAAGCGAGTACTTGGTTAGAGTAAAAAGTAGAACTGTATTTATAATAGTTAATGTCTGCAATAAATCACTATTTATCTTCATCTAACTATGTCTAAATACAAATGTGTAAATCAGTTATCTGCTCACCACTCATTGCGTGCGTCTGTCGTGGCGCGTCTTCGTTGGTTGATATAATGGCCTACATCAACCAATTAGGAACTACTTGTAAGTGCTACAGAATATTTATCCTTATGACAATATTCTGAGAACATAACTCTTGTAGTTATATTCTATTAACAATTTCTTATAAATTGTTATATAACGATTCACCCCGTTACATCACCCCCCCCTTAACCATCGGTCACTTATTGACTGATTGACTAAGTGGATACTCGTCTTTAATCATTTAGGACAGGGTTTGCACTTGTTGGTCCGAGTCCACTTTCCAACAGTTCATCGCATGGTTAACAAGTCCATGCGATGCGCGAGCAAGGCCGCCGAGAGCGCGTCCGCCCGTCTCTGTGCGGACGCCGAAGCAGAAACCACAGCAACGGATGCCTCATCGGTTGCTGAAGCGACCCAGCCTGTGTCACTTGGTGATGCAGGCGCTGGTCATGAAGACACTCATGTCTTCATAGAGTACGAGCTCGGTGTCTCGTACTCTCCTGATACGGAAGACGGATCCGTATCGACGGCGATCGAATCCAAGCCGCCTGCCAAGTGTGGCATGGACGATGCTTTGCGTCGCAGCATCTTTGGTTCATCTGATGAATCAGATGAACTATCGCCGAAGCGAAGGCGCTCGAGGTCTCGAAACTCGGGCGCTAACAGTGGTGTCGGTTCTTCTATGGACACCACTTCGCAACGAGGTGCCAGTACTTCTGTCGGCACATCGCAGGAAGAGCGGGATCGCAATGTCTTGCGTCTCGCTCCCGAGAAGAAGGCATGGATGCCTCCAAAATCCGTCATGGATCACTTGTCGGCGACGACGAGTGATCGTTATCGAACACGATTGTTCGATTCGTCAAGGATCCATCACCTTGACTCCAGCGCGAAAAACTATCGCGCTGAGAATGAATTCTTCATCGATGCTTTCTTTAGACATCGATGGTACAGTGGGAATCACAAGCGTGATGGTCCCTCACTGCTTCAAGCGTGGAACGCCTACATCCGTAACCTTGAGGATGTAGGTCGTGACGCTTGAAACGACAAACTTATCAAAGCTCGTGATAAGTTTGAAAAGCGAACCCCGACAGGTGCACGCTACAAGCTGCATCGTCTGTCAAGGGAGAAAGCATTACCCTGCCTCTCATGGGGAGACTCGTGCCCGTGTT